CGAACCCGTGACATTTACAGGCTATAGTTTCATCTTATGAAAGATATAAAAAGGACAAGACTCTGGGGTACATCTACACCTCATTGACAAAGGATATTCTTTTGAGTACCAGATAGTTCATGTTTTGGACAAAGAAGACAGGTGCTTTGAGAGGGGAGTGAAGGAAGCCATCTATGTTAAGAAAGAAAAACCAAACTTAAACAGAGGGGGTGGACTCAGATTTCAGCTTTCATAAACCTACAATGCAGCGATAGAGTTGATTCCTTCCTGCTATCATCGCAACCCCAACCTCTTTACAGGGGAACAGAAGACCTCGCGTATTCAGCCAGTCCAACGATTCCCTTTAACGACCCTCCTTTTTAGAGACATAGACAGGTATCGGGCAATACAGGCTAACAAAGAGCCCAAACGACCCCCATTCCTAAGGGTTGGACCACTTTGTTCATTTCAGTTTGCATGTTTTCTAATCCAAAACAAGGCTTTGTTTTTTGGTCCTCTCTATAAAGCCTCATACTCAACGTTATTTCTGACATTTTGAATTGAAAAGGTTTCCTGGTGTGGATGCCTAAAGGCGCATCATTATCATTTGTTTTGGGAATGCCCAGTTATCCAGAAATATTGGAAAGACATGAACAATGTAATGCAAACTGTTTATAACGTCACCATCCCTTTCAACTTCATGACCATGTACCTTGGACTGAAAACATCGACAATGGACACAGTGAACAAATACCTTTGAATATAATGCTTGCTGCTGGAAAAAAAGCCATATTAAGAAATGGATGACACAGTCAGCCCCCACGATTTCAAACTGGATTAAAATCATGACTGAAATAAGAAACATGGAACAAATTACTTTTAAAATTCACTTGAAACTTGACATTTTTCACAAACTTTGGTCAAAATGGGACTCCTACAGGTTAAAATGTGCTGTGCTTTAAAATGGTCCATGATCCATCGCTACTTTCAACAAGCTGTATTTTTGCCAACTGCTCTCTATGTCGAACTGTTCTGTGTTATTAATGTTGTACTGAAAACTTTGAAAAAATAGAATAAAAAATTTTAAAAAAAGAAAACGCTTCCTGGATGGGAAGCAAAACATCTTCAACCTTTGAAACAAAATTCAGTGGATTTTTTTGGAGGGAAACTTGTAAAGGTTGACATGAAGGAGCATATAACTGATTGCAATCCTTGGATAAATGCTGACCTGCACCAACACTCAGTTTATAATGGGAAGCTGAAAATCAGCCTCTAACATGCAGCTTTAGTTAGCTCTGGTTTTATGTTTCCTACAGAGTTTACACTCTACACAGACGGGCGCCCACTGCCAATCAGCTACGCATGGAAAGAATCAACAGAAATATCAGTGAAAGTCGATGATAACTTGTTTGCTTTATGAGAAGTCATGCTGCCCCCTGATGGGATCCTGTCATGTTTCCTGTATCAAAGGCAGCTACTGCAAACAACCAGACGACTCGGGAACTGAACTGCTGCTTCTTCTAAAAGACACATTTATTGTTTTTATATCAATAAACTGCTTTCTGTCTGTTTTATTTTGCTCATATTTCTTGAAAAAAGCACCATAAAGGGAGATCTGTGAGTGTCCATTTTTTCTGTTCAATAATGAGATCACAAAATTGTAATAATCAAGTTGTTTTTTTTCTTTTCCATTTGTAAAACCGAAATTTAAAAATCCATCTTTCTTCTGCAAAAAGCAGGGTTCTCCATGGACAGGTTGCCACAGAGACTTAAAACCATACTGGCTATTGTTTTCATTTGTAGTGATAGTGGTGTCAGTCGATATATAATTAGTCATGTATAAAATAACAATTTTAGTTGGGGGTTTTGTCTAGGACAAAGTGCAGACATTTAGAAAAACATTGAATTAATTTTGGCGCAATATTGTTGCAAGAAAAAAACATATTTTACATGGAAATATGGGGAAAAAAATTCAAGTTTGAAAAAACTGTTCTTATTTTTTGCATAATTTTTAAATCTCCTAACAGTTACAGTTACCATGTCCCTGAGATTTCCCCCTCTATATCTATATATATAGATATATATGGAAGCAAATCGTTACCATATTTCAAATGAAAAGGCATTTTTTTTAGAAATTCAATTTGAAAATGTAATTTGAAATTTGAAATGTAAAATTTGAAAATGAAAAAGCATTTCCAGAAATGCTTTTTCATTTTAAGAATGTGGCTGCATTGTTTGACTCATAAATGAAATTAGTAATCAATCATCGTATTTGCATTTGCATTTTCTTCTTTAAAACTGCACATTTTATGCCATAATCAAGGAGAAAACACAGCGGATATTGCTTTTTCTGTTTCATGGTCTGCCAGCAAAGAACTGTCCATAACTTGAAAACGAAAAAGCATTCTGAGCGGCGGGCGCAGCAGAGTGACTTCAGCAGCCGCTCTTCCTCAGGTCCTTGCTGACCGGGCTACCCATCTTGTTGAGTCAAACAATGCAGCCACAATTTCAAAGTTTACATTTTATAATTGAATTTTGGTATCTATTTGCTCGGCTACATTTTGAAAAATAAATCCTTTTCATTTTAATTAAGTAAAAGGATGAGCAGTCTTGAAGAAGAAAATGAAAATGCAAACAGGATTATTGATTACTAATTTCATTTATGAGTCAAACAATGCAGCCACATTCTTAAAATGAAAAAAACATTTCTGAATATGCCTTTTCATTTGAAATATGGTAACGATTTGCTTCCATAGATATATAGATATATATAGATATATATAAATAGATATATACACTCACCGGCCACTTTATTAGGTACACCTGTCCAACTGCTCGTTAACACTTAATTTCTAAGCAGCCAATCACATGGCGGCAACTCAGTGCATTTAGGCACGTAGACATGGTCAAGATAATCTCCTGCAGTTCAAACCGAGCATCAGTATGGGGTAGAAAGGTGATTTGAGTGACTTTGAACGTGGCATGATTGTTGGTGCCAGAAGGGCTGGTCTGAGTATTTCAGAAACTGCTGATCTACTGGGTTTTTTACGCACAACCATCTCTAGGGTTTACAGAGAATGGTCCGAAAAAGAAAAAACATCCAGTGAGCGGCAGTTCTGTGGGCGGAAATGCCTTGTTGATGCCAGAGGTCAGAGGAGAATGGCCAGACTGGTTTGAGCTGATAGAAGGGCAACAGTGACTCAAATAACCACCCGTTACAACCAAGGTGGGCAGAAGAGCATCTCTGAACGCACAGTACGTCGAACTTTGAGGCAGATGGGCTACAGCAGCAGAAGACCACACCGGGTGCCACTCCTTTCAGCTAAGAACAGGAAACTGAGGCTACAATTTGCACAAGCTCATCGAAATTAGACAATAGAAGATTGGAAAAACGTTGCCTGGTCTGATGAGTCTCGATTTCTGCTGCAACATTCGGATGGTAGGGTCAGAATTTGGCGTCTACAACATGAAAGCATGGATCCATCCTGCCTTGTATCAATGGTTCAGGCTGGTGGTGGTGGTGTCATGGTGTGGGGAATATTTTCTTGGCACTCTTTGGGCCCCTTGGTACCAATTGAGCATTGTTGCAACGCCACAGCCTAACTGAGTATTGTTGCTGACCATGTCCATCCCTTTATGACCACAATGTACCCAACTTCTGATGGCTACTTTCAGCAGGATAATGCGCCATGTCATAAAGCTGGAATCATCTCAGACTGGTTTCTTGAACATGACAATGAGTTCACTGTACTCAAATGGCCTCCACAGTCACCAGATCTCAATCCAATGGAGCATCTTTGGGATGTGGTGGAACGGGAGATTCGCATCATGGATGTGCAGCCGACAAATCTGCGGCAACTGTGTGATGCCATCATGTCAATATGGACCAAACTCCCTGAGGAATGCTTCCAGCACCTTGTTGAATCTATGCCACGAAGAATTGAGGCAGTTCTGAAGGCAAAAGGGGGTCCAACCCGTTACTAGCATGGGGTACCTAATAAAGTGGCCTGCGAGTGTATATATAAATAGATATAGATAGATAGATGTAAATATATCAATATATTTATCGACATATATATATATATATATATATATATATATATAGAGAGAGAGAGAGAGAGAGAGAGAGAGAGAGCAAGAGAGATAGAAGCAGATATTTGAGTGTTTCAATATAACATTTTTGCATTTATGTTTTACAAAATGGAAAAACATTGAAACAACACAGTCATAATCTTTCTAATCTCGTCTTGAAACAGAAAAATCAAACAAGGAATCATGGAAAGGTTGTTCTTATCCTTCCACCTTGTCTTGTTCATTGCAGGAAAGGTTACTTTTTAATCCCATGACCAGAAGGCTATTTATCACTCTGTTACACTTTCAGAAGTTTTCCTTTGGGATACTTATTCAGTACTGATCTGTACTTTGGACTAATGATAGATGCAGGTTTTGTGAAAAAGTACTGAACCACGAATAGTTACAAATAAACACAGTTGATTAAAATTCACTCATATTTTGGATGATGATCATCGGTTTCTGTTGGGTCACAGTTTCAGACTTTCATCTCTCAGCTGCAGGGTAGTGCAGTGCATGATGCTCGGGCTACATGAGGGGAAGTCAATAAGTGCTTTGTGTGTTTGATGATCTTCTTTATCCTTGCATCTTTCATTTCCTCTTCGCGAAGTACAGAATGTTAACATTTGCCTTATCAGCCATTCAGACAGAAAATCTTTCGCCCGGAAAGTCCAACACCTACTCTGTCGGTGTGAGACAGATGTAGGTGTATGTAAGTTTCTGCTTCGCCCTGCGGTTTGACCTTTAATGGTTTTATTTCTGTCTGCCTCGCCGTTGCACTCTGCTTAACACTCATTTTCAGGCGGACATGCTCTCCTGTAGCTATTTATTTTCACACCGCCTATGTTTCTCCTTCCCGCATCCTTCGACTTTGCATTGAATATTTTGCAACCTGTCCTTATTTTACCTCGGATGTGGTTTCAGCCGTTGGTCTCTGCTCCTTCTTGCAGATCACCGTGCCAGGAGGAAGAGCATAGCCACTGGGAAGCAACCCAGCATGGAGGTCCCTCCCACTGCCCCCCTTCAACCCTTCCGACAATCCGTGAGTAACCCTCCCTGTCCTCGGCCTCGCTCGCTGCCTCCATCCCTCTCGCTGTCCCTCCTCCCTCCTCCCTCCCTCGGCCCACCTCAGACCTATGGCAGACGGGCAAGCGGCACCCCACCTCACCCCTTCCCGCTCTCCCTGGCTGTCTCCCCCTCCAACACCTTTTGCCCACCGGTGCAGCCACAGAAAAAGGGCTTCAAGAAAGGTTCGGCCACACCGCCCATGCCCCGCTCGCTGCCTCTCTCCCCCTCCCTGTCCTTTACCCTGCCCCACTCACCTGCCGCCTCCTCCTCCCCTCCCTTCTTGTACTGGGGAGGAGACTGGAGCGCTGCCGGTTCGAGTCCAGTGGTGGGAGGAACGTTTATTGAACCACTGCCCCCTGTTGAGGTATGTGACACAGAGATTACAGCTGTGTTTATATTGACTACAGGTACTAGAACCCTTTCCTTTTTTTTTTGCCAAGAATGTTTTTAAAGGTATTATGTGGTGGTGGTGTTTGGGGGGAGTCAGGCATTTTGACATCATGTGACTCGGTGGGCTTGTTTTCTATTTAAAATTCACAGGAATCACAAACAATTTAAAATTCCAGGATTGAATCCATCAGATTGTTGTTACCATTCTAAGGATGAAAGAGGTCATCACTGGGTCTTTTAGCGGGAAAACTGTTTGTTTGTGCGCTTTATGAGGGGGAGGGGAGGAGGTTGAGCTTTTGGCATTTGTTTAATCAAGTGATAGTGATGCAGCACAGAATGCAGTAGATGGATCTTTAACTGGAACAGAGAAACAGCAGTATAGCTGGTGGTATATATTAGGGCTCGGGAATTTGGACTTAAAATCTTATCAGAATATTTTGTGGTACTAATGTGATAACATTAAAAGTGATGATTAAATAAAAAAAAAAACATACATTTCTTCTGTCTTAGGTACCTGCACCAAATATTGAATAAAATTGAAGAAAATCAGCTTCCTCAGGACACCAGATTACTGTATGACTTACGTCACGAAGCATGTAGTATATTGCTAAAGTTTGACATTTAAATCATGTTATCAAATTTGTTTATGCTTAAATGGGAAAAAAAAATTGTTTTCCCAATTTTATCGTTTAGAGGATAGATCAAAATCCTTATCATATTAAGAAATATATGACAACAATAAGATAAGAGCAAAATTTCCTTTGACTTCAACTTGTTTCAACAATCCAGGAACTATTTGGTGATTTCCAAACTGAACTTTGTCATTTTTGGAAAAATGTCTGTATATATTGGTGGTGAAGATTTACAGTCATCCAGGTCATTCCAAAAAGGTTAAAAAAAAACAATCCAATGGACTTTGTTTCCAAGTTTGAAGACATTTCGCTTCCCGTCCAGGAAGTTTTTTCAATTCAAAATGTCAGAAATTCATTGTGTTCGAGGCTTTATACAGTAGCCTGAGCCTTGTTTTGGCTTAAAAAAAAAAAACAACAACACAAAAACAAACACAAAATCCCAGTATGGAAGTAAATCTGTATCGCTGGGATTTGAATTAAAAATGCCACTGAAATTTTAATGTTGTTTTTTTGTACTTACTGTTTCAGTGTTGAAATATATTCAGAACACATTTTTGACCTAAAAAAAAATTCACTATCATTATTTCTACACTGATAAAATTTCATTTGTTATTTTCTCTTTAAGCTAAACATTCACATTACTATTTCAGTGATTACATTTTCAATACTTATTTTTCAGTTAAATTTTTTGGGGTTAAAATAATCTGCAATAATCTTCCTTTTTACACTGAATTTAGACGCGAAAGTAAAAGTGCACTGTCGTAAATATGCACAGCTGTTCTCCTGGTTTCTCCGTCAAGCCAAGCGCGGTTGTTTTGAGCTTAGCAGACAGGCGAACGCAACGAATGACTAAGCATCTGACGCGCCGCAAACGCGCTGCTGCTCGAGATGGAAAAATTGAATTTTTGCTGCTCGATGCGCCGCGTCAACCAATCAGAGAAGCTGATCTGGGAGCTGGCAGGGAGAGAGACAGCGCTGATGATCAGAGCACTATGATCACTCCTCTTAAACAGTTTATTGACGCCTAAATTAAATTAAAATGCAGAAATTTGCCGGCAGACTATGTTCGCTTTTATTATCCTGCTGCCTGCAGTTTGGATTATTTAGATGAAAAACACCTACCAGCTGCCGCGGTGAACCGCGAGGAGGCGACCCGGCCAGAGGCTGCTGATGAAGGGATTCCTACTGTCGGCGCACCGCTGGTATGTGGGGGTCTGAGCGGCTCCGACAGAAAAAATATTGAAGGCAGGATAATAATCTGAATGAACTGACTGCACTGATTACGTTTTCAGGTGTATTTTCTCATTTAAACATATATTAAAACTACTTTATTCCCACTGATCACAGCAAATATAGCTTCAAGGCAGAGAAAGAATAGTGAAGCTCCGCCCAACGCGCATCAGACACTTTTGCAACGTGCAGCCAGAGCAGCAAAGCTGCTTCAGCCGCGAGTCAGAACTAACTGGTACAAGCAGCAAAAATGAAGCAGCAGACGCGATTTTGCTGCTTTTGCTGCGTCCGGTGTGAAAGCAGCACTGCACAAAGATTGCCACTGTGCTAGCAAAGAGCATGCTTTTAACTGGGGGGTGTAGCAGTTCTAGCCGTAAAGCAAGACCGATTCTCGCGAGAATTCTGAGCCTGTGGGTGCGGGTCGGTGCTCCTGCAATTGCAAGTACGGTATTTCCCCTACAGACCACCAGGGCGGCCGAGAATACCTTTGTTCAACCTGAAATGACTCATTTAATCATCCATAATGTTATGGAACACATTAATTAACTGAAAAATGTTGCATAGTGTGCCTTTAAGACGGTGAAATAGAGCCAGTTGAATCTCAGGAGGCTAAAAATATTGAGTTTGAATTTTGAAAGGTTGAATTTTTTTATATGCAGATTATTTTAACCCCAAAAAATTTAACTTAAAAATAAGTGTTGAAAATGTAATCACTTTGAAATAGTAATGTGAATTTTTTAGCTTGAAGAGAAAATAACAAATGAAATTTCATCTGTGTAGAAATAATGACAATGAATTTTTTTTTAGGTCAAAAATGTGTTCTGAATATATTTTAACACTGAAAAAGTAAGTACAAACATACAACATTTAAATTTCAGTGGCATTTTTAATTCAAATCCTAGCGACACAGATTTACTTCCAGGACAACCCAGGACATTTCAAACCCAACAAGACCCCTTAAACAGAGACTACTGCATCCTAAAGACAAACCCCCCGTAGACTAAATATGAGCGGAGTGGTGTCTGCAGTTCAATGCAGCGAGGAATGCTGTCATCTTAATATTGGAGAAACCAAACAACCTCTCCACAGACGCATGACCCAAAACAGAAGAGCAACCTCAAGACTCGACGGTACATCTACACCTTATGGATAAAGGACTTTCTTTTGAGGACCAGAATGTTTACATTTTCACTAAGAAGATTGGTGTTTTGAAAGGGGCGTGAAGGAACCATTTATGTTAAGAAAGAAAAACCAACCTTAAATAGAGGGGGTGGACTCAGCATTCAGCTTTCAAAAACCTACCATGCAGCAATTGAGTCGATTCCTTCCCGCTATCATCGCAGCCCCAACCCCTTTACAGGGGAACAGAAGACCTCGCCTATTCAGCCAGGCCAACGATTCCCTTTAACGACCCTCCTTTCTGAGACATAGACAGGTATCGGGCAATACAAGCTAACAAATCATAGACAATCATAGGCAGGTTTCAGGTATTACAGGAGACAATCCCCCCCTTAACGGCTGTTCAGTGCAGCGAGGAATGCTCTGATCTTTATATTGGAGAAACCAAACAACCTCTCCACAGGCGCATGGCCCAACACAGAAGAGCGGCCTCCTCTGGACAAGACTCCGCAGTACACCTACACCTTGTGGACATTGAGGACCAGAATGTTCACATTCTGGATATAGAAAATAGGTGGTTTGAGAGGTGCGTGAAGGAAGCCATCAATTTTAAGAGAGCAAAACCAACTTTAAACGGAGGTGGTGGACTCAGATTCCAGCTTCCAAAAACATACAATTCAATCATAGACATGATCCCTTCAAGATATCACCAAACCCCCCACCCCATCTCAGAGGAACGAGGGACCTACCCGCTCCAAACGGTGAACAACACCTCCTTAACGACCGACCCTTAACAATCATAGACAGGTTTCAGGTATTACTGTACAGGAGACGATCCCCCCCTTAACGGCAGTCCCCCCCCTTTAATGACTGACCTTCAGAATCATAGACATGTTTCAGATATTACAGGCTAACGATGGAACCAAACGACCCATTCATCGGTTACCATTTGCATGTTTCCAAGCGATACAAGGCTTTGTCTATATAAGACTTAGGCCCCGTCCACACAAAGTCTAAACGAACACGAAACGCTAATATTTTCCAGAACGTTTGTCTTAAAGACAGAGATGTAAAATAAATGTGATCGACCACATGAATGCATGAAAACGCTGCAAAATGTATGCCAGGCCTGTAAGTGGCGCTGTGGTGCCAAAGCAAAAATAGGCGAAAACAGGCAACGAAATGTTGGGCATGCGCACTAATATTTATACATGGTTGCCCTGCGGGTCCATTTTCGTGGTTCAGTCAAATTCAGGTGCTGAACTATGTGGTCGATATTGCTCTGTTCTTCCTGGAGATATTCCAGAAGAAGAAGATTCTGTTGTAAGCCCGACAGCAGGGTGAGTAGCATGAGCAGCAACCATTCAACACAGTACGGCGCCATTGTTGTTGTGATACTGTGTCGCGCATGCGTGTTTAGAGGCGACGCTATGACGCATGCGTGTAAAATAAGTGCGGTTAGAGCTTAAAGATGGAAACGAGAAAACGGCGTTTCAAAATCTTCCCACTCTGAAGGCTGAATAAAAAAAAGATCGTTTACAGACCCCCGAAACGCCGGCTTCGTATGGATGAGAGGCTGGTCTGGTGAAAAATTAGTGAATTTAGGCCAGGGTTTGATTTCGTGTGGACGGGGCCTCAAACTCACTGCGGATCCAAAAATTTTAATTGAGAAAGCTTCCTGGAGAGGTGGTGAAACGTCTTCAAATCTTGGAAACCAAGTCCAGTGGATATTTTTTTGAATTTTTATGTAACAAGCTAACAAAGATCCCAAATGACCGCCATTCCAAAGGGGTGGACCCGTTCGTTCGTTTCAATTTAAATTTTTTCTAAGCCAAAACTAGGCTTTGTTTTTGGTTCACTCTATGAAGCCTCAAACTCAACGCTATTTCTGACACAAACTTGGAAAGAAAGGGTGCTGTAGATCGTTTTTTTTTTGTTTTTTTTTCCTTTTTTGGAAAGTCTGCATATATTAAGGAAAACCTGTAACCCGTTT